CCCAACCCACATGCAAAGGGACAAACCTAACAGCACAATAGTTCAATTGAGCTGGCACTCTCTTGAGCATGTGTTAGTTCATTTGTCTGTATTCACTTTTAATAGGGGCACACTATGAAAAACCTTAGCATACCACAGTTATTATAAAAGGAAGACTTTACTTTTGCATGGTGTCTGGCTGTGTAAAATACTGACTAAAGTACACAGTATTCAGCCATGCTTTTTACACTAGCAAAAAGAACAAGATTTAAACACAATGAGCTCTTACCATCATCGAGTGCATTTTTGACTGCCCTTAAGCCATCCCGTATAGCATCTTTGATCTGAGTGAGTGTGTGCTTATTTGGTCCTTTGACTAATAATGTGACAGAACGGGGATTGTTACATTTCTCAATAAAGGTGAACTTCTCTTCTCCCTGTAAGAGAGATTTTCAAAACCAGAATATATACAAAGAGTGAACAGGAGAGGAGTATACGGAGAGGATAAATAGCATATTAATCATACTAATTATACTGACCATATTAAAGCCAAATTTAGTAAAGATTGTCATTTTTTTCCATGCCAATGGAAAAAAACAAACAACAAAACGTATATAAACAAAGAAAAACCTGATCCTGAATTTAAACTTTTCTACTGAGGAATTCAGGTTTGGGAGGAAAACACACTTACCAAGGTATACTCATAGACAAGTCCTGCATAGCCCAGGCAGTCAGGACTGAGGTCATCAAGAGAATTCAGAGCCACCCCACCACAAGCAAGAGTCAGCCTGAAAGGGTAAAGTGTGAAACGTGTCAGCAGCATCAGCAGTTACGCTCAAAGAGAAGACTAACCACTGTCAGGAAGAAATCTCCAGAATTACAGGCTAAAATTGCATTCTCAAAAATATTTCAACCTAAGCCTTTCCATTCATCAATAATCAGCTGAAAAGGATCTTTTCTTTTAACCTGTTAAAGCCACCCTCCCCCACAGCCAGCAAATAGGCTTCAAATATGACCCTGCACCCCTGGTATTAGGGATCGAATTTGGGGCCTTGCATGTGCTAGCCAAGTGCTCCAATGAGCCATATCCTAGCTTTTTTTTTTTTTTAAAAAAAAAATTAAAAAAAAAAAAAAAAAAACAACCCAGGGGCTGGGGATGTGGCTCAAGCGGTAGCGCGCTGGCCTGGCATGCGTGCGGCCCGGGTTCGATCCTCAGCACCACATACCAACAAAGATGTTGTGTCTGCCGATAACCCAGCCAGACTAATATTTTATTTAGTTCTTGGCAGGCCGGACATCTTTGTTTGTATGTGGTGCTGAGGATCAAACCCTGGCCGCAGGCATGCCAGGCGGGCGCGCAGGCGGGCGTGCTACCGCTTGAGCCACATCCCCAGCCCCATATCCTAGCCTTTTAAAATTCTATTTTCAGACAGGGTCTAGGTAAGTTGCTCAGGGTGGTCTTGAACTTGCAATCGTTGTGCCTCAGTGCCTCAGCTTCCCAAGCCGCTGGGATTACAGGTGCATGCCATCACACCCAGCTCTCTGGAATCTTTTCACAAGAAAAACCAGGGGTAGGGTGTGTCTTGTTCTAAACAATGCTCACAGAATTATTCACAATAGCCAAAAAGTGGCTACAACCCAAATGTCCACCAACAGATCAAAGATAAAACATGGCACACACAATGGAATAAAGAGTGAGATTCTGGCCTGATACAGCATGCAGACTAAGCCAAGTAAATAAAACAAGCCAGATACAAAGGACAAACACCATGACTCCATTTACAGGAGGCACTGAACTCAGACCTGTGTTCACCAAGGTAAGGAGAGGGAGAATTGGGAGTAACCTACCTTGATGACAAAAGTTTCAAGATGCACACTGGTGGCAGCTGCACAACAGTGTGAATGCAGTAATGCCACTCCTTGGAGCCCTTAAAGTGGGAGATGTTATTTATATGATGCCACAAAAAAGTGAAAAATAAAGGAGGAAAAGAAAAATCCTAATTCACTTGCCAACTAGTGAAATTTACATTATTCAGATGATCTGCTCATACCTTTCCATATTTCTCCGTTTAGCTCTGCGCAGAGCTACTATGCCTTCTTTTGCAAGCGCATCCAAAGAAAAGGGGTCAATCCCCTATAAAAATAAAATCAGTTTCAGTATATCTTGCCTTAAGAGTAGAAAAGAACAACAGACTTTTCTTTTGTAACTCTAATTTTCATTCTCACCTTCTGATTGATAACAACAAAACCTTTATCTGAATCACCACAGACTTTCTTTTTCAGTTCTACTATTTTTTTCACTCTATCTTCAATAAATTTTCTTTCAGCTTTTACTAGTTTCTCTCTCTCTTCTGCACTCTTGTAAAAAAAGCCAGAATTCACTTCTCTGTTAGAAAAAGAGAAAAAATGTTTACGGCAAAGAAAGCAGCCTGAGAAACTTGATTCATCTTAAAGCTTACAAAGTCCCGGAGACCCAATCCTGCCCCTTGTACATTGTTAGTAGTCATCTGCTCCTGGCCTCCCAAACCCAAATGAGTTATTACTGCCCTCACAGTGAACAAAATGAATTTCAAAAGGAACTTGCTGCAAAATACCAATCTCCTCCACTCCCCCTTAAAGGGGCGACCACTCACGTTTTTTCATACTCCAGCGACACATTGCATGTGAGAATGTATGCGTTTTCCACTCTCTTCTTCATGTCAGGGTGGCGGGCCCCATGGTCCAAAACAAGACCTCTGATTAAGCTGTTAAAAGAATTCATATTGTTACTTGTGGGAGGCCATCCTCGTACATGATTTGAGATACCTCCCTGGCTGGATGAGAGGCGCTTAGACACATCTTTGTGTCCAGAGCTTTCCCCATCCTTCTCAGGTCCGAGGGCTTGTCCGTGTGGAGGTGTGTCTGGCCACTACCCCTAAAGACCCAATTGTCGCACCATGACTTTGGGACACTGCCCCCCTTAAACTTCATTGGATGGGATCTTCCCCAGAATTTTTTGTTCCCCAATAAAGTCCACTCCCTGGCGTGTTCTCTCTCTCTCACTGGCCTCTTCAGTAAACCTCGCTACCCTAATAGGTAGCTTGAAGCTGGAGGTAGGAGAAGCCGTCCAGGAGCTGGTTTAAAGGTAATTAGAATCTGTCTTTTTTAATTCAAACTCCCTTCGGATTTCTCACATAGCTGAACCTTCATTTATGAAGCCTGTGCTGGCAGTGGGCTAAAGTTACTGATTTCCAAAATAGGAGTCTTTCACTGACAAAACTGAAACACTCAAAAGATTATACTGACAATTTTTATACCATTAGTTTTCTCTCTTGAATTATCTGAAGTTTCTAGTGAAACCTAGGGATGGTCAATTGTGAAAAAGCAGTATTACAGAGCGCAAGACAGGCTATTCCAACAAGAGTAACACCACTATCCTCAATGGAAAATTCTGCAGATACTCTCAAATGGCAGACATCAAACTCTTGATTGCCTCCTTCAAATAAATATTATCTCGGTCTTTAAAAAACACAGCATACCCTCCCCAGTCTTCAAGAGGAAATATCACTAGGAACAAATGGACTACCCTGCAATTTATTCCACAAAATTATGTTTACCCAAACATATAAATATTTATTTTTGTGAACATCCAACTTATAAATCCACTTTATTATTATTTCAGGGCTGGAGACTGGCTCAGGGGTGGAGCCCCTGCTCACAGGCACAAGGTTCAACCCCAACAGACACTCAGAAGTGGTTCAACAGAACTCTATCACCTACCTTGTGTCAGTTTCAGATTTATGTTTCATCTCCATGATTTCAACCATGAACAGGTCAATAGGCTCATCTTTTTTTTTAATGGCCAAAATGGAGTCCACTACAGCCTACAACAGGAGTACAACTGTTATATAAATTCAATTTGCAAAAGTTAAAAACATTGGGGGTTGGGGTTGTGGCTCAGCAGTAGAGTGCTCGCCTAGCATTTGTGAGGCCCTGGGTTCAATCCTCAGCACCACATAAAAATAAATAAAATAAGGAAATTATGTCCAACTACAACTAAAAAAATAATACCCCCCCAAAATAAAATAAAATGTTAAAATACTGAAGTTCTTCTTTAGAAGTTTTAAGTTACTTTAAAATATGATTTTTTCCTATGAGTAATGAAACTACAGTAGAAATAAAAGGCTCTAGTCATTTACAGTTCTAAAATATTAAATAATCACTCCTATTTTGCTGAAAATACTAATAACTATAGCTTACTACAATTACATGAAGAACTAAGAGTCAGAAGATTCCCAACATGGAAAGGTCAATACCCAAGGAAGCAGAAATGCTAATTAATTACCCTGATTTGATTGTTATACATTGGACACATGTATTAAACCATCACATATGCACCATATTTAAATTACTGATAAACTAGGAGCTTTCTAATTAAACCTTCACTTTATATTCCTTCCAAAAAATTGTTTTATTAGCATTTTAATGAAAGTTCCAATTGTATTTTTATAACCTGGTGAGGCAAGTTGTTCTTTGTATTTTCTCACTTCATATATCAGGGAATTGGATTAAATATCACTGCCTGGACAGAAATGAACCTACTTACTTCAAATGGTGGACACTGAAGGTTTCAGACAGTACCTTCTAATTGGAATTGCTAAGAACACCGATGCTTCTGCTCTAAGGTATTTTCCATGTTTACTACACCACACACACCAATTGAACACATACCTCTGTCAGGATGTCTGCAAGTTCAGCATGAACTTTGGTACGGAGAGACGTTCTGGCCACATCTATGAGTGTCTCCCTGTCCATCTCTCTGTTTACTTTGATTTGTTCCAAAAACTGAAGGGCCTTTTCCTTTGCAGCTTCGAAACCTTCAGTGATTATTCTAGGATGAAGACCCTGTAATAAACACACAATCAAAACACTGCCACTAAACCTGGCACCTTCCATTAAATGCAATTGTTCGTGGAAGTTCACATAATTTCTGAAGGGATGATTTGGGATCACTCATGCCTTTTAACATAACCAAAGCAGCATGATGTGCTGACTTTCTGAATACATTTGAAAGAACAGAATATACCTTTCAATGCAGAGGAAAAGAACAGACATTGCTCTAGCACAGCGTCAAAGCCAAGTGAACTATAAAGCACACTTGGGTGTTTGCTGTGCAAATCACCAGGGATAATATCAAAACCTAAAAGTGATCCCTAGAAATCTGTTATTAGTAGGAACTCCCTCACCCCCATACTGGGGATTAAACCAGGGTCTCATGCATGCTAGGCAGTGCTCTACCACTGAACTACATCCTTAGTCCTATTTTATTTTTGAGACAAGGTCCTGCTAAATTGCCAATGCTGGCCTCAAACTTGAAATCCTTCTGCCTCAGCTTCCCATGTAGCTGGGATTCCAGTTGTACACCTCCACACCCAGCTAGTAGGAACATTTTAACTTTTCTACAAGCAATCTGAAATTAATTCACATCTTTAGCAATCAAAATAAATATAGACTAAACATCTGCTCGCTCTCTCTTCATAGGGAATTCTGACAGTGGATTAGTTACTCACCGAGGTTTGCTTTAAACTTGGAACTATTCAGGGCTAAAAAAAAGTTGTAGAATTTGGTGAGGCGTGGAGGTGCATACCTGTAATCCCAGCGGCTCGGGAGGCTAAGACAGGAGGATCTTGAATTCAAAGTCAGCCTCAGCAAAAGCGAGGTACTAAGCAACTCAGTGAGACCCTGTCTCTCAATAAAACACAAAACAAGGCTGGGGATGTGGCTGAGTGGTTGGGTGTCCCAGAGTTTAATCCTTAGTACCCCTACCCCACAAAAAGTTGTAGAATTCTTTTTACTCAAATGTCTAACATTTAGTTGACCTTTTCCTTGTAACTATGGCTAGTTCAGACCTCTACATCTCATATTATTAATTTGTTGTAGAGCTAGATAGAAATAAAAAATGAAACGTAACTTGATTAAAAAACTTGCAGGCCAACAAAGATTCCATAACATATCCATCATCACACATTTCTATTTCCACCATGATAAAGACCCAGGTTCTCAGATTTATAACTCCTGCTCTTTACATGCTGTGTGGCCTCAGCTACTGTTAACACATCAATTTACAAACGTCACATTTCTTACACACAATCAAAACAAGACAATTCTATGTACCTCAGAAATGTAGAGATCTGCCTGTTTGAGCAGCTCTCCAATGATAAGGACATTGGAAGTGGTGCCATCCCCAGTGATGTCATCCTGGGCTGTTGCTACTTTTGCTATCAAGGAGGCTGTTGGGTGCTGAATTTGCTGAAAAAGGAAAAAAATTTACTTAAATTACATTACTTAAAATAAATATACCTTGAAACCAATCTGTTGAGAACCTCTTTAAATGCTGTCTACCTTAATTGCCCAAATATTTGACTAATACTCCTTTAATAAAAAAATTGCAAATTGCTATTTTGCATATCAATCTATGATGATCAAAATATATGGAGACACACACACACTGGCAATCCCAGCTATTTGGGCAAGTGACCAAGGAGGATTTTAAGTTCAAGGTCATCTGTGGTAACTTAGTGGGACCCTCTTAGCAAAGATCTTCCAAAGAGTCACTGTGGGAAAGAAAAATTTTCATGTAAAAACAGGAAAATCACCATGCCTCTGAAGCCACTCCAGATTCTTAATCACAAAGGATTCAACCAAATCTCCTGCACCGCCTTTGGTTTTTCTATGCTCCTTTAACCTTGAATAGCTCTCAGCCTTCTCTATCTTTGGGGATACATTTTTTTTTTTGGCGATACTGGGGATTGAATCCACGGGTGCTCCACCACTGAGTTACACTCCTACACTCCCAGCACTCCCAGCCCTTCTTATTTTGAGACAAGGTCTTGTTAAATTGCCCAGGCTGGTCTTAAACTTGTAATCCTCCCACCTCAGCCTCCCAAGTTCCTGGGATCACAGAGCCTGGCTGATTAAGAATCTAGGCCATGAGGCTGGGGTTGTGGCTCAGTGTAGAGCGCTTGCCTAGCATGTGCAAGGCTCTGGGTTCGATCCTCAGCACCACATAAAAAAAATAAAGGCATTGTGTCCAACTACACCTTAAAAAAAAAAAAGAAAAAGAATATAGGCCTTGACAGAATCTTTATAAAGACTATCGGCTGGGCTGGGGATGTGGCTCAGCGGTAGCGCGCTCGCCTGGCATGCGTGCGGCCCGGGTTCGATCCTCAGCACCACATACCAACAAGGATGTTGTGTCTGCCGAGAACTAAAAAAATAAATAAATAAATATAAAAAAAATTCTCTCTCTCTCTCTCCTCTCACTCTCTTTAAAAAAAAAAAAAAAAAAAAAAAAAAAAAAAAAAAGACTATCGGCTGGGCCTGGTGGTCACATGTCTGTAATCCCAGCTACTGGGGATGTAGCTCAGTGGCAGAGCACCCTTGAGTTCAATCTCCAATATGTCCACATACACAATCTTGCACACTGCTTCCTACTTCACCTAAACTGGCTGCTAAGTACTCTGGCAGGGATGCTAGCAGGTGATGCTGCTCACCTGTCAGTCCCACAGCAATAGATTAAAGACAGATCTTTCCATTGCACCTGGGGAACTTCAGCAGCCATCCAGGAAAGACACATGTGAAACACACGCAGACTATATGTAAAGCTGCATCAGTGCCAGGCCTGATGGCGCACACCTGTAATCCTAGTGGCTTGGAAAGCTGAGGCAGGATTAAGAGTTCAAAGCCAGTAACTTAGAGAGGACCTAATAAACTTAACAAAACCTGGCTCTAAATAAAATATTAAAAAAGGGCTGAGATGTGGCTCAGTGGTGATTCCCGTTACCAGGGGGGAAAACAAAAAGGAAAAAGGAAAGCTGCTAAGAGGTACAATAATGATATTTTGGCCATTTTGGGAGGATGATGGACCCATTAAGAGCATTTTTAAGGGCTGGAGGTATAGCTCAATGTGAGAGTGCACACTTAGGATGGACAATGGGCTCAATTCCCATCACTCAGATATAAAGAACATTTCAGAAATGAGATGCCATGTCTGTGATTCACTTCCAATCAAGAGGGAAAAATTAAGCAAAAATGTAAAAAAAAGAAAAACCCACTAAAGGGCATGTGAATGTTTCATTTTCTCAACTTTTCTGTTCATTTATAATTTTTCAAGGAAAAAAAAAAGAAAAATCTATGGCAATTGAAGAGGTGCGGGCAAAGGGGACTTCTGAGGTGGCAGTTTCTTTCTTAGTTTCTTCTTGTGTTCAGTTTGTTAATTATTATTAATAACAATAAATGTTTAATATGCTTTTCTGTAGTTGTCATATTTTACAATAAAAACCAACCAAAACTAAAAAGTCAAAAATATGGCTTTTATGACAACAAATTTAAACTATAACTTTGCTTGTCATTAGCAAAGGCTACCATTTAGCCATGCAAAAACAAACATTTCATAATCCTGTGATTAAAAAACATCTGGATATTGATACCATGGATACTACTATCAAAATTCCAAATTCTATTCTCAACTTAAATTAGAGGAAAGAAATGTGTGTGGGGGGGCCGCTGGGGTTGTGGCTCAGTAGCAGAGCACTTGCCTGGCAAGTGTGAGGCACTGGGTTCGATTCTCAGCACCACATCAAAATAAATAAATAAAGGTCCATCAACGACAAAAATAAAATAAAATAAAAAAAGAGAAAGAAATGTGTATGAGCTGCTAAGTTTTGGAAGAACAGATATGAGCAAGAATTTTGAGAAAGGGGCTCCCTAGAATGCCCAGGCTGGCTTCCTGCCCCAGCCTTGCAAATTGGTGGGATTACAGGTGTGTGCCACAGTGCCTTTCAACAACACCGATCCCTGGGACTTAAGGTGGAGAGATGTATCAAAGGTATTCCTGTTTTTTTTTTTTTTTTTTTTAATGCTGTTGGGGAAGGAACCAGAGCCTCGCACATGCTAGGCAAGCAATCAGTCTTGTGAGCTACGACTCCAGTCGAAGAAATTTTAATTGAAAACAGAAAATCTTGCTGTTTTGCCCAGCTGGTTGTGTCAACCGCCCCTAATTTTTCAAATGACAATGAACTAAAACAATCCTTTAACCCAGACAACAAGTGGCAGGAGAGCCGGTATTCAGGCTCAGGGCCCCTGGCTGCACAGCACTGGCACTCCATCCCGACCATGCCGCTCTCCTGGTCCTCCCCGTCTGCGGGGAATCTCGGACACGATTTTCTCCCATCCCTCCTGTAAGGCAAACGACGACCTGACCAGAACGGGAACCTCACCATTTCGTGCAGCAGCACGTTGCCGTCCTTGGTGAGCTTGATGTCCCCAGCGCCAGACACCAGCCTGTGGGGGGGGGGGCAAAAACGCCAAGTCAGCTTGCGCCTTGTCAAGGAACCCAGCCGGCCTCCCGCGCCAGCCCCCGGGGCCCGGGGCGCCTTCCCACCCCTCCAAGGCCCGCGGAGGCCGGAGAGGGGCGGCGCAGCGAGCGCACACGGGAGAAAACGGGACCCCGCCCGGTCTTACATCTTCATGGTGCCCTTGGGCCCCAGGTTGGTCCGCAGCACGTCCTGCAGCCCGCGGGCCGCGCTGATGTTCACCGCCAGCGCCGCCTGCGCGCGGGCCACCTCGGCCTTCGGGTTCAGAGTCTTCACGGCCGCCATAGCTGTCCGGAGAAAGGAAGAGAGGCGCGCACTGAACCGGAGCCGGCAGCGCGTGGCCGGGCGGCGCTCTCAGCAGCTTCTGGAAAAGTCGGGCGCGCCGGACCCGCCCCCAGCGTGCGCACGCACCGCCGCCGTTGCCCCCCGTGGTCCCGCCCCCAGCGTGCCACGCGCCTCCGCCATTGGTCCATAGGCCGGTCGGCGTGCGTTCATTGGTCGTGGCCGCTAGGCGCCTGCGGACCCGCCCTCGCGCCCTGGCCCAGCGCGGTTGCTTTCGGGAGGAGCTGGGCTTCTCGGGGCCTGTGCTCTGGGCCTGTGGCGGTTCAGGGAGTGCGGGGCCTGGGGTCCACCTGGGCGGACCCGAGACCTGAGAACGTAGGCGGGCAGGGCCTGCAGGTGCCGCGCGCGGACGGGCGTGGCTGGGCCTCTGCGCGACCTGGGCTTGGGGTTGGATTCCCAAAACCAGGGTGGGGTTGGGGGGACGAGATGACATAATGAGCCAATCTTCTTGCTGACACTTA